GCAAAAGCAATCCTAGGCAATAAAGGCAAAGTGGGGACATCACGCATCCTAATTCAAATTATAATGCAAAGCTACAGTGATAAAAACAGTACAGTCCTGCCCCCCCAAAAAATCAAAACAATAAAAATACCAGACCTGAGGATCAGTAGAACGGATTAGAGGATGTGGGAACAGTTCCAAATACATTCAGCCACCTTATCTTTGACCAAGAGTGCAAGCACGTTCACAGGAATAAAGACAGCCTATTTAATAAATGGTGCCAGAAAAACTGGTTTTTTTTACACTCCAGATACTAAAATTAGACCCATGTCTCTCACCATGCACTAAACTAAAGTAGAAATGGATCGAAGATCCAAATGTTAAAACAGAAGCATTAAATCTTCTGGAAGAGAGCACAGGTAGAGCTCTTGAGGAAGGGGGTGGAGGTAGAGACTTCATGAACAAAATCCCGATCACACAGGAAACACCACTAAGAATCAGCACCTGGGATCTCGCCTTACTAACAAGCTCTCCCTGCACAGCCTGAGCTTCTGCACTGCGTGGTAGCATCCTAAACAATTTTCCATAAAGTGCGCTGTAGCTTCCCATCTGGAAGGGTTCATTTAAAAACGGAGCCGCCACCAGAGCAGCTCCAGTGCACACAGCTGCTCCTGGATAGCCCAAGGTAAAAACACTGTAGACTCCACAACGGCCCTCCTGCAGGACGCCCTCAAGGGGCCGGACTCGGGCGCCTGTGTCTCCTGCCTGCTGGCAGAGCTCGGAGGGAAGCCCTTGTCACTTTGCTGAGAATCCAGCCAGCGTGATGAGTCCCCACAAGGCATTAGAGAAGTCAGGGTGATTGGGATCCGCTGCAGACCACATGCAGAGAAAGCGCCTTGGCCAGCCGATGGAAGGTTCTAGAAGCTGCCTTCCTCATTTGAGTCAATGGGCCTCAAAGGGGCAGCTTCTGATGGATGACCCAGTGTGGTTCCCTCCGTCCAGGAAGCTCGGCTCTTAATTGCTGTTTTTGTCTTTTCTCAGAGGCAAACTAGGAAGTGCAAGTGCGCATTGATGCAATTTCCTACACGCCACGCACATCGACCAGCTTCAGCCCGCCCTGTTAAGAATCTATCATTTGCCCGGCATTGACGATTCAGCAACGCGCTACAGCTGCTCATGCTCCCCAGAGACGCCCAGTCTAGTGACCACCGTGATGAATGGCTCACTTTATTTTCCAAAAGTTCTTCCGAGTCCCCAAACCCTCGTCCGATGTAACTTACAACTTCATCAGTCAATGACAATACAGCTTCGATCCTAATAAACATCTGCTCGCCAGTGTCCCCACAGCGGAGCACAAAGACCGCAGGAACTGCCAGGGAGGCTCACGGACTCTGCAGGCTTCCGCTGGGTCCAGGGATCTCCTCCCCGGACAGAGCAGCTCAGATTGGAGGAGATGCACACACTGAGGAAAACCAGGGCTCGGGGACACGAACAAAAACAGGTGCCCCGAGGGCTTCTCCTGCATCCAGGAGAACACACCGACCAAGCAGAATGGAGAAAAAGGACAAGAGGACAGAGATCGCAAAGGACAGGGGAGCAGGGCATCCTGAGAGGGGCAGGCCGGCATCCCAAAAGACAAGCATGGCAGACGGGGGAGGCACAGACCTGAGCTCCTCCGAGGGGCCGGACCTCCACCAGGGACGGGGGAGCATTTTCACCAAGTGAGAAGATGGGGATCCCGCAAGGCGGCCGAATGCAGAAGGCGATGAGGAAAGGCGGCCCACCATTCAATCCTGTCCCTTGCTTTCTCCCCCATGACCACAGGGTCAACTGACCACATGTGGTCTCCCCATGACCACAGGGTCAACTGACCACAGGGGCAACTGACAGTGACAGGTCTGCAGCTCTGTGTTTGGACAGCTTTAAAATTCTGCAGAGCTTAAAGTGATGTAGCCTCACAAAGAAAGTCAGGGCTTTTGTCTTCCACGAGGCCTCGCCAGCAGAGGAAGCTGTCCTTCAGGATGCGGCCGGCTCCCAGGTGTATACCTACAGGGTTCAGAGACCGCCTCGGCCACCCACCAGAGGTTGTGGGCCTGGGTCAAAGCTGTAAAGAGTCTCTGCCTTCACATCACAGACTTCAAACACCCCTGCACTGGCACCGAAGGCCAGCTGAGGTGTCCGCACCACAGCACACACCCAAGCTCTGCTCCCTGGCTCTGCAAAATCGGACACTGACCACAGCCACAAGATCTCTGCCCAACCACATGAGTGGTGGTGCCACAGTTTTCACGCAGAGCAGCACAAGCACTACTGAAAACCTGCATGTCCTCCGGGGCCTTGGTCTTTCCACCTGTAAAATGGGGATGATGGTAACAGCCCTCCAAAGGATTGCTGAGGACTCAGGAAGATCATAATACACAGGCACTGACAAGTGTGTGGTGTGCCACAGCTGGTAAAGAAGCATTAGGGGTCATCATTTACCACTCAAGGGAAAGAGTGCCCTGTGGAGAGAAAAGCCATGAAAGGAGACTGGCAGAGGTCTCCGGCGACACTCCAGGGTCCTTGCAGCCTGGCTGGCCCAGGATGCACTGCTGACCTGTTGTGACCCAGCCAGGCCCCCCTGGGCGTGGCTGCTCTGGGGTGGCTGACAGAGGCCCCCCACCTGTCTCCTCGGAGACCCTGAGCCCTAACTTCCAGCTGCCCCAGAAATTCCAGGATGCTTGAGTACAGGGTGTCATGGGAGGGACTCACAGGTGGCGTCCGGACTAACCCCGCCCAGGAAGGACAGCAAGAAGTGAGAGGCAGAGACCCCAGGTGAAGGGGCCAGGGTGGCAGGACTCGGGAGGGAAGGAAACCCGTCAGAAATGTGGAGATGAAGCTCAGTTTTGAAGACGAGTAGAGAAACACTGGCTATTCACTGTGGAGGAGTCATCAAATGTGAAGCCGGCACTGGACACTGGATTTCCGAGGCCCCGGAATGCAGCTTTGCTCTGGAACAAAGGATGGCGGGCTTTAAAGGCCCTGCAGCAAAGCCGGCAGAGCACAGAGAATCCAGACGTCGGGGATCAAGGAGGCCTGGCGCAAGCTCTGAAGAGTGGGGTGGGGCGGTCACATCCCTTCATCTGTGACCAGCACCACATCTGCACCCCGGGGACGGGGTGGCCGTAGTGCATGTCTCCGCCCAGCCCAGGCCAACTCAGAGCTGACGAGATGGGAATCTGATGCATCAGCATCAGCGCTGAGACTGTGGCCAGGATGCTACCCTGAGCTCAGGAAGGGCTGGCACCGCATGTGAGGAAATCGCCCAGGGCGTGATAAGCCCTGTGCCCTCCTGCAGGAAGCCGGAAAGCAGCAGTGCTGGGGCCACAGCCCAGGGAAGCACGTTCTCCTCCTGGCTGCCACAGGAAATGGCCTTGGGGCCACAGGCTGCCTGGGCTCCCTCCCAAGAGGACACAAAAACCGGGGCATGTGGGGACAGGCCACTTCCGGGCAGGGTTGGCGCTGCGGGGAGCCCAGGGCCAGAAAGAAGATCCACAAGAGAACAGACCAGGCCAATGACACCGAGAGGTCCCAGAGGCCTGGGACCGCGCCAGACAGACAGCCAGATACAGACACGCTTCCCAGCCATCCCACGAATGGGTGCAGGGACCCCACTCATGACGGCTGGCACACTTACACACTCACACACATGCACACTCACACACATGTGCACACATGCAAATGCACACTCATACACATGCATACTCATATATGTACATTCACATGCGCATGCATACACACGCATGCAGGACACACATGTGTACACATACACACGCATACATGTCATGCACATTCATGTGCACACGCACACTCATGCTCGTATACATGCACATGCAGACACACATGCACACATACAGGCACAATCACGCACTCATGGGCACACTCGTGCATGCACTCACATATATACACCTGCATACACACATATATGCACACTTATACACATACATACACAATCATGCACAATCACACATGCACTTACACATTCACACATACATGCACACATGACATTCTCAGACATGCAACTCACATGTGCATACGCACATGTAATACAATTGATGCATGTGCACCCAAATACATGTACATGCTCATATATGCATATAGCATTCTCGCAGATACATACAACTCACAAACATGCACACCCATACATATATCTGTACACTCACATGCACACAAATACATGCATACACACATGTGCGCTCACACTCACATACTGGCTTGCATACTGTGTGCACTCAGACGTATGCACATGTGCTCATACATAGACAAATGCAGTTCACACACATGCACACTTGCACAAATACCTGTATATGCCCATACAGCCAACACCACCATGCATATACAGCCACACACATACCTTCACACAGGCACGCTCAAACACACACATGTATGCACCTACAGCTCATTCACACAGCAACAACTCACACACGTAACACATCCATTTACATATACATACAATCATACACAGTGCATAACCACACACTCACAAGTGTACACTTTACACTTACAAATTCGTGCCCCACACCACACTCATGTACAACTTATACACACACATAAACGTTTTCAGACATGTGCCCATCACATATGCCATCCACATGGGCTCATCTATGCACAAACACACATGTACTCCTGCTTGGACTCACACACACTCACACATCTCCCACACACCGTTAACAGCCTGCAGGAAATGCGGCTTCCACCCCACCCACACACACTTGCCAGCCTGCCCCAGCCCCAGACTGGCTGCCCCACCTCACTCCACTCCTCCCTGCCCCACACGTTCCCCAAACTCAGGTCTGGATTCTCCCCTGCTGCCCACCTGCTCCGAGCCAGCATCTTGGAAGGTCAAGCCCAGCCCTCCAGCCTGTCACCTGGCAGTCGGAGCCCCAGGTCAAACCGGACAGCAGAGGAACTGCTCTGAGCTTCCCGGGGGGCCAGGGCTCGATTCCGCACTGGCCAAGCCCTCCCTGTTCCAGGGCTCTTACCTCGTTCACAAAGACCCAGTGGCTGTCCTTGGAAGCCAGGTTGGTCTCCACGGCCTGCAGAGAGAAAAAAGCTCAGGTGAATAGAGGCAGGCTGGAGCCGGCAGGCACCTGGGGAGGCAGTAAGACGGGCAGTAAACACTGCTCTTCAACCCACGGTCCCCCCAGGCCCTTTGCAGCTGCCTCAGCCTCAGCCTCTGCCTCAGCCTCTGCCTCGGGCGGCATGAATTGGACGCAGAGATCTGATCCCCCAGTTCGTGTCACTCTCCCACACCAACCTGGTGTGAGGTCAGGGGAGCAGCTCCCATAGAGGTCTCGGGGCCACAGCGCAGGCGGCCGGCCTTCCCCGCAAACACCTTCCTGCAGGAGCCTCCATGCTCCCTCATCAGCCCGAGGCAGGCTGCAGCATCAGGAAACTAGACGCTGGATTCGAGGCAGCTCATCCGGCTGTGCAGAGTGAACAGGGGCTCTGCGCTGGGCCTTGGAGCCACCTCCCTCTGGGGTCTCCCAGCGCCCTGAAGCTGCCCACCCACCCTCTCTGACTGTGCCCTGTTCCATTTGTTACAGAGCCCCGCCGGGCTCGGATGGTTACAGCTCACTGGTTACTCATTTGTCTTGGCAGAAGGCAAGGTCCCCTCTCCTAGGTCACAGCTGGGTCCCCGAACTTCACATTATCACCAGCACATAGTGGGTGTACAATCAACACTGCCGAACGCACAAACGAGGCAGGAGCCCGAGGCAGGCGCACCCCGTCCCTCACTTTGATTCCTGTGTGTTTTATGAGTGCTTTTCCCTCCCTGGAGCACCAGGCACCGTAAGAGGACACTATAGCGTCCTCTTACGCTGCAGCGTAGGTCCAGTCGTTTCACGTTGCCCATCCGTGATTTCCGCCTTACAGCAGCAGGATGAGGTGATGCATTGCGGAGGCCCAACACTGGAGGCTGCCAGCAGCTGGGCCTGGGGACAGCGAGGGCAGCCAGCAGCTGCAGAGCGACGGAGGATGATGGGAAGCTGCCCGTGCTGGCTGCTGACACTAGGAGCTGAGGCCGCTGGTCCTCAGGCTGAGGGCCACTAACAGAGGTTGTCGGGATGAGAGCTGCTGGTGTGCGAAGCTCAGCGCAGCCGACACGGAGAGAGCTGCCCTCTTCTAGCCCCATTCCTGGCCCCTCCTTCCCTCATGCCTCCTGGCCACCACGCAGTGGACAGCTCTCCTCTGCCCTGCTGCTCTCCCGTGCTGTTTCTGCCATGGAGCCAGTGGGCCATGGACTGGATCCATCAAAACCGTGAGCTGAACCTCTCCTCTTTTAAGTTGTGGGTGTCGAGTATTATTTTGTCCCAGTGATGGGAAAACGACTCACAGGGGACTGGCGTCACCCTTATTTTACAGATGAAGAAGTCAAGCATGGAGAGGCCAAGCAGCTTGCCAAGGCCTCACAGAGAACAAGCGTCCCCAGGCTCACCCTGCCTGCCATGCCAGCCAGGCATGGTGCGAGAGTGTTCCAGGAAGCCCACGTCCATGGGTCACCCTTCGGGTTCCGGTCTGTCCTTCCACATGAGTTGGGGTTCCACGGGGAGACAGAACCATGTCAGTTACTTGGACGGGGAGGATTTCACATCAAGAATTGTCCACAGGCTTAGAAATGTAACTGAAAGGGCACAGAAGGAACTCCAGAGCGGCCCAGAGGCAGGAAGCAGCGGGAGGAACAAGAGAGCAGGACAGCTAGAACCTCCAGTCTGGAGCAGAGCTCCACGGAGCAGGAGCTGAGGCCGCTGGACGTGCTGGCCAGGGCTCGGGTCTCTCCACTGGACAGGGGTGGAGGGATGAGAAAAATGTCAAGGCAGAAGAAGGACTTGCCTCTGCAAGGGTGCAGAAGGTCGCTGGATTGAGGCTCATAGCAACTGGAAGGCCACATATGCACAGGGAGTAAATCCTGCTCCCCCCAGCCTCGCATCCCCCTCCGCACCCCTGCTGGTAGGTAGGTCTTGACAGGGCACAGGCAGGGCAGGCCGCAGTGGGCTTGGTACCGTCCTGGCCTCGAGCTGAGGTAGAAGGGGAACTTGGAGCTGCAGGACGTCACTTAATGACCGCATCTTCCCGTGGCCCAGAGGAGGCCTCATGTCCTGTACTTCGCTCCGATCCTTACAGATTTCCTCTGCTTGATTCCCTGGAACTGTGTTTCAGACTCCTGAGCGGCCACTGCTCCTCCTCCACGGGGTGCAGGAGGCCAGGGTCCCTCTCCCTGAGCTCCATTGAGGAAGCAATGGACGCACGTCACATGCTCTGCACCCATGCCGGAGACTCGGCGTGTCCTGTCCCCAGCCTGCAAGCCCCGTTCCAGGAGTCCTTCCTAGAGAGACCCTTGGCCGGCAGGCAGGGAGGAAGCCCAGGGTCTACTTTCCTTCCGACCCTTCTGGCCCTGCCTATCTCCGCTGTCGATGATGCTCACCTGAGCGCAGCGCTGACACCCAGGAAGTCTGACCTTTCGGGAAGGGAGTGATTTGATTCCTCAGGCAGGGACTGACCCGAGGCTGGCGTGTGCAGTGTCAAAGCAGCACAGCCCTTAGATGCCTGACTGACGGCTCTCTCGGGGCTTCCCTATTCCAAAAGCTCACAGTGAAAGTAACTCCAGAGTTACTGGACTGAGAAATGTACAATTGCTGTCTTGTTGGTGTCTCGGTAACATCCATGGAGTGAGTTTCATGGGCACGGCCAGCTGCGAGATGGACTAACGCAGCACAGCCTATTGCTTGTCTTCCCTAGGCCCCAGTTCTGACTGTGAACCTCAGTGGCATTTTGGGTCCTCTGGGCCACCATCAGCTTAGAGTCAATGCCCAGCAGTCCCTGAGCAGCCTGGGCAGTCAGCTGCCTCCTCCATGTACCATCAGCCTGACGTTCAGGTCCTGCTGAGCAGAGAGGCAGCCGACAGTCCATCCCGTGGTAGCGACTTGGGTTCTTTTTCTGCAAGAGCTGGCGGTTTCATGTCTGTGAAGAAGAGGGACACTGGGAATTCAAGGAGAGGCCAGGACCCTGCGGGCTGCTGCTTCCTGAGATCTAATCCCTAATCTTTGTTTTGTTTTATTTATTGGCTTTTGGATCAAATCAATTAAGGCTTTGCTATTCTGCCAGTCTGTTTCAGACCTTGGGATCCCAAGAGTATTTGGCCACCGAGAAATATCCTCATGGGTCACAGCATTTGGATGAGGTCAGTTAACTCTGCTGCCCGCTGTAGTAACCACAGTCCCTGCATCCCTGGGTGGGTGCCTCTGCTTCGAGTATTTCTTTGAGTGTGCTGTGCTCTCCAGTTCTGGGTCCTAAGCTCGCCACATCAGAATTATCCAACACAGCCAACTGAGGTAGAAATATAGGTGGTCAGATGGGGCTGGACCCCAAGGGAGGCAGTGCAGAGGATCAGAACACACTGTAAGGATGGCTGGAGGGGCATTCAGGAAGGCCAGGCCTCAGGAAAAAGGTGGGGTGACCAGGCCTGCCTGCCTCCCCAGGGGTTAAGCAATGTACTGTAACTGCTGTCACCTGGTGCAGTGAAGCCTCGGTAGACTTCGGCCATCCTGGTGGTGCCCGGGACCTCCTACACAGCTCTTCCAAGGAAGGTCCTTGTTCTTTCCACATGCACTTGCCAAGTGACCTGTCTCCCCGCTGGATCCACATTGCCCAGGTGGCTATGCCGTAATCCTATTGGATGGTCATAGTTCTGTCCCACGCTGTGCCATCTTGTGATTTGATATCTACCTCTTGACTTTGTACCCACCTCAGGATTCTGCTCTCTAAAACTTCATTTGAGAAGTGGGCTCATTGAGAGCCAATTTTCAGGTCCGGTCCTGATTCTCAGGACCTGTCTCTCTCAATAAATATTTCCGGCTGTTAATCTCTGTTGTTCTTTCGAAGTTGTCCTTCAGTTTTGGGGAACAGGAGCTCAGCATATCTAACATCTGACAGGTTAGGAGTTAAGCAATATTTCCCCATGTGTCATGTGGAGGTCTTTGATCAGTACCACCTAGGAACTTGCTAGAAATGCGGATTCCCAGGCCTCCACCCAGGCTTACTGAATCAGAGACTCCTGGCAGAGGGAGGTGGTTTTTAGCAACCAGCTCTCCAGGGGACTCTGATGCCCACCAGGTCTGAGAAAGACCACCTCATCCCACCTCCCCACCACAGTTGAAGAACCCATGTCATGCAGTGTGACCCTAGCCAGTCACGGAGAGATCACAGAACTTTGGTTGTGATGCTGGTGCTCCTGATGATGTACTTCTCCATTGCCCTGTGTCTCTTGGGGGACACAGATGGGAGTAGATCTCACTGACAATGTTCCCATCTCCCCAGTCTTCCTCTAAGGAAGTTAAACCAAGGCGGTCTCGGGGCCTCCATCTGATTTGAGACAGACCATCGCTGAGTCCTCAGGGCCTCCCTTAGGTGTCCCGTTTAAAGCCCTAGGTCAGAGTACGCATCATATGCCTAAAGTGATTTGGGTCACAGTGATTTTTCTTTCTCGTCAACCTGATTCCCTTGATTAGGATCCCTTTCTAAATAATCCCTAGGTATTTGCTGATATAAGCTAGCAAAATACTATAATTCAGGGTGTTGTCGCCTTTTTCTGTGTCATATCTCATCCCAGCTAGTGCTGGGACCTGATGGATCCTAGTTAGGGATCTTGAAGCAACACAGAGTGGTGGGAGCTGGGTCTTGAGAACAAAGCTCTGCTTACAGTTATAATCCCCTTGCCCCAGAAAAGTTCCTGATAGGGTCCCCAAACCAGGCAGAGTGACTCCTATTAAATCGACAGGGCCACTTCTATTGCAAAGGATGCTGCAGAAGGATTTGGAGTTCAAGATATTCAGATGCATCGCCTGTCAGTTGTTGCTCTGACTTTCTTGAGACAGTGCTCAGGCTTTGAGCCAGGAAATTCAGGAAACAATTGTTTATTTCACAAGTTCCCCACCTTCGGAGAGGTGAAACAGAAAGATATTTGCAAGACTGAAGACAGTAGACATCATGATGACAAGAACAGCCACAAATAATACGTGATACGATAAAGCTAAAGAATATATATAGCGGTTATGCCAACGGTGGAAAAATAGCCTTTCTTAAAATGTACTAGCACACTCTGGGCACTGTGGAAGGGACAGTTACAGCCCCAGACTTACCTACCCCCTAATCCCCTGAACCTACCAGCAGGTCCTTTACTTGGCCAAGGAGCGTTGCGGATGCAGCTAATAACTTGTGGGGCAGAGTCATCCTCCACCACCCGGCTGGCTGGAGCCCACGGCCCTTAGGAGCTAAGGGGAGCCAATCTTTCCTGGCTACTGAGCACCAGGGCCAGCAGTGGGGGAAAGAGCTGGCCTGCCACTGCGAGACTGGCCTCTGAAAGCT